TTCATCCAAGAATTGAGAAAGAAGGAACACTTACCTGATTATTTCATGAGGCCAGTATAAACTTGATATCAAAACAAGAATATTATAAGGAAGGATATTAGCTAGCTCTCTTGAAAATCAATTCAAAAATACTACAGAAAGTATTAGCAAATATAAGTCAGGATATCTAAAAAGGATAATTCATCATTACCAAGATGGCTTTAGTCTAGAAGTACAATGTAATGTCATCAATGAAGGGAAAAATTGATCATCTCAGTATATGCAGAAAAAATATTTAATACAATCCAACATCAGTCTATGATGTAAAAATTCTTAGCAGACCTAGAATAGAATTGTCTTCATCTAATAAATGGTATCTCTGAAAATCTCAGTAGTGAAATATTCAAGGTTTTCTACTTGAGATTAGGAATGATACAAAGATATTACTCTTACCACTTTTACATAGCAACATACTGAAGATCCTAACCAGGGTAATAAGAAAAAGCAATAAAATATAGAGGGATTGGAAATGAAGAAATAAAAATTATTCAGAAATAACATTGTGTATATAGAAAACAATCTCCAAACTATTAGAATTAATAGAACTTTCAAAGTTTGGTAAAATTCAATATATAATAATCAACTGTATTTTTAGTATACGAGCAACAAAAAAACTTTAAAATTACCACTTAAATATCAAAAAACACTAAATGTGTAGGAATGATTCAAATTAGAGATATGTAATAGCTCTTCACAGGAACTACAACTTATTAAGAGAAATTAAAGAAGACTTGAGTAAATGAAGAGAACTACCATATTCATGGATTGGAGAATCATTCTTAAAAAGATTTCCATTCTTTCTAATTTTATGTAGTCTCAAAATTTCAGGAGCTTTTTCTTTAGTGGAAACTGTCAAGCCCATTATAAAATTTATATGGAAGTATCATGAACCAAGAATAGCCTATACCAAATTGAAGAAGAACAGAAATGGAGGACTATCAGACTTATTCTAAAGCTACAACAATTTACACAGGTCAGTTGATGTAATGAGGATAGACAAATAGTACAGAATTGAAGGTCTGGAAACAAACACATAAATGGAAACTTTATTTACTGCAAAGGTAGGCTTTGAGAGGAAGGAGGTGAAAATTTTAATTTCCTTGTTTGTTTTTCAAATAAATTTTAATGGGCCAGTTCGGTATTTTGTATAGAAAAACACTAATCTTGGCTCCTATCTCATATAGAAAGCAATTCCAGGTGGATTATATTTCTAAACGTGAAAGACAAACCAATCGACTTTCTGGAGGATAAATTCATGAATGAAAGACATCTTCATAAATGTGGGATGGGAAAAGTTTTAAATAAGATACTAAAAGTGCTGACCATAGGTTGATAAAATTGACTGCATTTAAATTAGGAACTTCTTTTCCTCACAAGACTTCTTAAGTGTGGGAGAACATACTTGCAATACATATAATTATCAAAATGATTACATCCAAATATGTAAACAACTTTTACAAATAGGTAAAAGATGAAAATAACCACTGAGAAAAATGGGCAAAAAAAAATGAATATGCACTTCATAAAAGAAGCTATCCAAATGGGATGATTAGCATGCAAGAAGGGATAACTTCTTAGTCATCACGGAAATGTAAATTAAAACCACACTGATCATTCCAAAGAATAGCTTAAAAAGATGATAATTCTGAATTTTGGTGAGGTTTTAGAACATTCACAACTCATGTATTGCTGCTGGGGTGTAAATTGGTACAATGACTTTGGAAAATTGGCAGAATCTGCAAACACTAAGCATACAAATACCTAATGATTCAGCATTTCTGCTCTTACCCAGAAGAAATGCATATGCATATATGTTCACTAAAAGCTGTGCACCAGAATGTTCATGGCAGCATTATTTAAAATACCTAAACGATGGAAATAACTCAAATGTACACCAATTGGATGTTAGTTGGGTAGATTAAGGTAAATTTCCAATAGCAGTGAAAACAAGTCAACTGCTACATGCAACAACATGGATGAATTTTACAAATAAGATATTGACTAGAAGGCAGACAGAAAATAATAACTTTATGGTTCCATTAGTGTAAAATTCAGAAACAGACAAAACTAATCAATGGTGTTAGAAATTATGATAGTAGTAATATCTGGAGAGATATATTTGGGGAAGCCACAATAGATTCAGAGTTGCTGATAATAATTTGGTTTTATAGCCTAGGTGGTAGTTACACAGATACGTTCACTTTGTGATAATTCTTAAAGTTGCGTTTACATAATTTGCCCACTCCTCTGTATGTTAAAGAATTTTCTTTTAAAAAAAATCTTTTTAATTCTATTACGTTAGTCACTATACAGTACATCATTAGTTTTTGATGTAGTGTTCCATGATTCATTGACACCCAGTGCTCCATGCAGTACTTGCCCTCCTTAATACCCATCACCGGACTAACCCATCACCCCATCTCCCTCCCCTCTAAAACCCTTAGTTTGTTTCTCAGAGTCCATAGTCTTTCATAGTTCATCTCCCCCTCCAATTTCCCCTTCAATTTTCCCCTCCTTCTCCTAATGTCCTCCATGCTATTCCTTATGTTCCACAAATAAGTGAAGCCATTTGATAATTGACTTTCTCTGCTTGACTTATTTCACTTAGCATAATCTCCTGCAGTCCCAAATAATCAATATTTTATAGTTTCCGAATTCATAAATGATGTGTTTATATTAAGCTATGAATATAACTGGCATTAATTGAAAAAGTGGTCATGTAAATTGGAAAGCTTAAAATTACAACTAGAATTATTGTAAGTATTATAATTATTTCAAATATTCCCATATTAAATGCTTCTTTAAGAATGAGGTAGGGGTGCCTGGGTGGTTCAGTGTGTTAAGCAGCCCCCTCTTGATTTCAGCTCCAGTCAGGCTCTGTGCTCTGCACTCAGCTCAGAGTCTGCTTGTCCCTCGCCCATCCCCCTGTGAGCGAGCTCTCTCTCTTTCTCTCTCTCTAAAAATAAATCTTTAAATCATTCCCCTCCCTTGTTTAAAAAAAAAAAAAGGAAGGAGCTGTGTATGTTTCTGTATTGAAAAGTTTGGGAGAGTTAATAATTTTTGGAGTGGGCAATGATGAAGACTGGTCCATGTTAACCAGATCTTTCAAGTGAAATATGACTTTAAGTCTTTCAGTTAACATACACATATATCTTACGATGTACATTCAGCTGATAACACGCAAACCTGCCATATGTTGAAAAGCTATGCTTTTCAGATTCTTTGAGAATAATAAAGGCAATAAATATGATTTTGCAATAAATATCTTCTACTTTTATAAAGCGAATTCTTTGAGGTTGCTCAGGTAATGCTTTTTTTTGTATTATATAGACACTTGTATAGTGATAGAGAAACATTCTTTGCAGCTGCCTAATTTTGATCTTGATCTCTACTAAAAAGTAAAAAAGTATTATCGCTCTGGGGAGAAAGGAAAAAACGGAACTAACAACAACCAAAGCATAGCGCCATATCCCATGTTTTCAGTTAACAATTTTATGTGAAATAGCTTATTTTCTCCCATTTTCTTTGATAGTTCACTGATAGAGAATTGACAGTAGATACTAGAATTTAAATTCTGTTATAACCATATTAAATTAAGCTTTTTTCATTAAAACATTTGAAATGATGTCCATTTGCTTCTTTTTCTTGTTTAATTAAAAATCTAAAATGGGTATTGTATTCACTAACCTTGCCTGCTTTTTTCTATAAGCTGATTCTGCTTTGCCTCTGGGGTGTGTGTGTGTGTGTGTGTGTGTATGTATGTGTGTGTATGTGTTACTGCATCATGTTATTAACACCAGTATGTTTCAGAAGTAACTTTTTGTCTTATTTATCAACTTAACCATTAAGAAATTAATGAAATAATTTAACTTTTAAACTAAGTACTTCTAATAACAGCCACTGAATCATTAAGTGAAAGCGGACTTTCACCTGTTTGGGTCTGGAGATATATGTTGATGTACTAGATTCTGGCTTGATAATTCATTTACTTAGTGACAGAATCAACAACCTCTTTATATTACTGTGGACTCAATCTACTCACAGTGTTTTTACTACCTGCCTCACTGCCTGCCTCTCTCTGCTGTAGTCACTCTGTTCCAGCCACAGTCAGGGCCTTCTTGCTGTTTGAATAGCTGCCAAACATATTTTTTCCTCAGCACTTTTGTTGATATCTGTTCAGATCTGTTTTTCCCCATATCCTCCTCAGACTCCCTTGCTCATTATATTCAGGTCTCTGTTTGAAAATCACCTCAGAGATGCATTCTCTGAGTCTTCTCCATTATTTCCCCATGATTCTCTATTCTTATTCCCTGATTGATTTTTTATAGCAATTATCACTACCTGTGATACTCTGTTACATATATATTTTTAATATATTTCTCAGGAAACATAAGTTCCATGAGGGTAGGGACTTAATTGGTTTTGCTTAACTACTATATTTCCAGCACCTGGAACCAAGAGAGTTACACAGTAAACACTGTGTAAATATTTGTGGTTAGAATGAATGAATGAACGACAGAAAGAAAAGAAAAGAAAGAAAATGAATAGTGTCAGTCTGCATGGTTCAGCCCTCAGTTAACTCTGCGGAATTCATTTATTTATTCTCCAAAAAGATGTAGGGTTGTTGTTAATTCCAGCATGGCTCTCTTTATAGGCATTGGTGGTAAATTTTAAATAAGCTCTAATAATATAACCGATTTCTGATCTTGTTATCCTTTAAAGAAGGAGAAAAGGGGGAAAGGGGGAAATAATATACATAGTATTTAACTTTGTCTTTTATGAAATAAATAATGACTAAAAATAATATTTGTTCCAAATGCACTCTCTTTGTTCTTGTCTGTGATAATTTAAAAATATGGTAGTAACTGCTCATGTACTACTTAAAGTTGTAGATTTATATTGATTTTGTTTGTTTTCCTATTTATACCTATTTCCACCCTGCCACCCCCACCTGTTTAAAGAATCCAACCCAAGTCGGAACAGCTCTTCAGGTTTTCCATAATCTTGGAACTTTGAAGGATACGATTACCAGTGTTGTGGATGGATATTGTGCTACTTTAGAAGAACATATCAACAGTGCGTTAGACATCAAAGTTCTGACTCAGCCTTCGCAGTCAGCTGTGAGAGGTATGGCTATGGTTTATATTTAGCTGCTTTATTTATTTATAACCAAGAAGTCCTTTGAATAGTATGTGAAACACTTAAGTTTCAAAGCATTCTAATGACTCATTTTTTAGTAGACAGAAAATGAGAGAAGAAATTATGTTTCAGAATGTATTTATAACTTTTTTTGTCTAATCAGTGAGTTGAATTGGCCAATTGGTATATTCAGAACTTCTAGAAAAAAAATCTATAAACTGTGGCTCCACTTAGTTCAGAGGAAACAGATGCAAGGAAAAAAAGGAACATTTTTCTTTCTGAAATCCTTATCCTCACATGTACTTCTTGAGGCAGAAAATATTTTTTAAGGAAATGCAATTTCTCCCTTAGCTTTTTGGGCTTTTCCTTAGAATTATTTTCCTTAGAATAATTTCAGTATTCAGGAGCAAAGAAGGCTAACTGTGGACTTAGAAACTGATAAAACCTTTGGGAACGTTACAACCATAGCAAAATCTAAAAAAACTACAAAAGAAAGGTATGAGAGAGGAGTAGCCCCACAATAGCAGTCTGCAACCTTTTTTCCTGCCAAGATGTACCTGCTGATGGCATTCATGTATAAAACACCCTTCAGAGATGAGATAGGAAAGACTACATGTTATATATACCTCTCATCTAACCAACATATCTCTGCATTTCTCTCCTTGTATTCTCTTTTCTCTCCTATTATTATGAACGAGCTGTGCTTGCACCTAGCAAAGACCAAGTACCCTACTCTTAGTTCAGATGTCCCAAGGGCATTGCTTTAGCAGATCCCCTCTGTCTGCCATGTAGTCCGTTTTCCTTCTTTAAATTTCTTTCCTGTTACATTCAGTTGAGCTAGTGTACCTTCTTCTGCTTAAAGACAGATCTATGTTTGACTATGTTTCCTTCTTCAGCTCTGCTCCCCCATTTTATTTTCTTCAGACTACAGAAAAATTCCCCAAAGTTGTTGTGTATACTTACTGTCTCCACAGTTTTTTCTTTCCATTTTTCTTTAAGATTTTTATTTATTTTAGGGGCGCCTAGGTGGCTCAGTCGTTAAGCGTCTGCCTTTGGCTCAGGTCATGATCCCGGGGTCCTGGGATCGAGCCCCGCGTCGGGCTCCCTGCTCCGCAGGAAGCCTGCTTCTCCCTCTCCCACACCCCTTGCTTGTGTTCCCTCTCTCACTGTGTCTCTCTCTGTCAATAAATAAAAATCTCTTTTTTTTTAAAAAAAAGATTTTTATTTATTTTAGAGAGCTTGAGGGGGTGGGGAGAGAAACTGAGGGAGAGGGACAGCGCAGAGCCTGATGCAGGGCTTGATCCCATGACCCTGAGATCATGACCTGAGCTGAAACCAAGAGTTGGACGCTAAACCAACTGAGCCACCCAGGTGCCCCTCTTCCCATTTTTCTATTGAAGAAGCTGCTCTGTCATCAGAGTCGTCCTAAAAAACAGTGCATATAGAATTAATAACAGAGTTCCTCATACATGGCTTACACTAAAAAAATATTTACAGTGAGTGATTATTGTTTTTATATTTCCTATATAAACATAGCCTTAAATAACACAAATATATGTCATTCATAAATAAGTTGCACAAGATAAAAAGAGATAAAAGAATCTTAGATCTTAAAGGGATTTTTAAAGGTTAGCCCTAGCCTCTGAATAGATCTGTATTAAGACTGTCCCAGAAGGGGAGCTTTGAAAAGAAATTGCCAAAGGAGATTTCCCTCTCAGCTTTTCCCAGCAATTATTCTCAGAAAGTTTGATCTAATGTTTAAATTTCCAGGAGCAGTTTAATCTCATTCCCTCTTGTGTTGTCAAGAAAAGGAAAAAAAAATGAAAGCAATTATTCACATGCTGTCAATCCTAATGTACAGCCTTTTTGTTGAAAGAATAAAGAATTTTAAAGCCTTATTATCATCTGTTGAGGAGTGGATACTGTGATTTTAATACTCTTAAGCATCACTTCTTTATTATTTTTAAAAGAATTATCACTATTATTTTTAGTTTTTTAAATGTGACATTGGCAATATTCATGTTAATTTGCTGATCTTGTTGGTTATATTGAGATTATGGATTAGAATGTCCTTGTTTTTTGGAAATACACATTGAAGTATTTCAAGGGTGATGGAGCATCATGTCAGTAACTTACTAACAAATGATTCGGGGAAATTTTTTAGTATGCTTTCAAATTTTCTATATGTTTAAGATTGTTCAAAAAAGTTTAAAATATATAAAATTGATAGAATTTTAAGGGAAAAATATTATCTATGATGTATTTCAGAAGCTTATAATTTAAAAAGAAAAAGATAAACAACTCAATTGAAAAAATAATATGATTAGGGAGTTAACAGAAGAACATATCTAATAAATGGGAAAATGTGATCAGCTTCTTTTTAGAGGATGAACTAGTTATTAGGGAAATACAGATAAGACAAGATACAATATCTCAATCATGAGATTGGCAAAATCTAAGAATTAAGTGTTGGATGAGAGCAGAAACTCTTATATGCTGATTGTAGGAGAATGAAATGGTTCAGCCACTTCACTCAGTTTTATCAAATTGTTCTCTAAGGTTAAAACTGTATGTACCTTGTGATCTTATAATTTCTGTTAGAAAAATAATACCCTAGAGAACTCTGTCACATATATACATATATAAGAATTTTTATTGTATTTATATTAGTGAAAAAGTGAAAACAATCTTTCCTCCAGTGGAAATAAAGTGCTACTGTTGGGTCTCAGTTTTTTCAGTGAGCCAATGCCTTTGTACCTTGAACTTCACAAGCATACTATTTTTTTTTTTCCTCCCTCATGTGGGAGAGAATGACCAGAGTGGGCTGGAGTTGGGTATTTCCCTTCCCCAGGTCATTTAGATTCTTATAATACCCCAGAGGGTCAGGCTCTGGTTAACTAGTTTCCCCTCAAGGGCAGGCCTTGTCGAGAATAGAGTCCTCTGGTGTATTTCAAGACTGTTCTTTTTTTCTTGCTCCTGCTGCAGGCATCAAGGGATTTTTCTCCCTTATTTACTGTGGGAACCTACTTGGGCTCCTGGATGCAAATCTCAAAATATTGTGGGCCCCCTATGACTGGGTACACCTGGACCTTTTAATTCTCACAGTTGCCAACTTTGAGCCTCTAGCAATTCATCAGTTACAGTTCAGGTTTTCCTTCCCTAGCACTGGCTCCCACTGTCTGTTTTCTGCTAGTAAGGCTCTGCTCCCATACGTGGAGACTTCCTGTATTCACCGGTCAGTCTCTCTTATCTTGGGGGCAATGGTTTGCCATGTGTCCTCCCCTCTCTTACAGGTCCAAGAAGGGTTGTTGATTTCTCAGTCTGTTCGTCATTTAACTTGTTGTTAGGACAGAGTGGCAACTTAGAGGCTTCTCACAGTTGGAACCAGAAATGGAAGTTGCTAACTCAGTTTTTTACCATACCTCACTTGTTTCTTCTTTGGCATTGTTAAAAGTAAGACAACTGACTCTAAATGGAGTCACTTATGCTAAACCCCACATCACCAAATTGAGACATAACTTAATTACAGTTTCAGCCTTTCTCAGAAATGGAATCTTAAACCAATCAGGAATTACTTAATTAGTACTAGTACTAGTGGGGTAATTCTGCCCTACTGCCCCTTAAAGGAAAGTGACCTTGCCAAAACCAATTTGCTTTTTTTGGTCTAGTATAACTTCTCTGTTCCTGCTCTCTTCTGCCTATAAAAATCTCTCATTTCGTACAGCTCCTGAATAAAAGCCAGTAAGATTGACTAAAAGCCAGTAAGATCTTTAAAATTTACTCAGTTGAATTTCATTTTTTAACAATGTCCATATGGATCTTTCCTTATCTTTGAAGTCTAGTAATTTCTTTAGGATATATCTTGGCATTGAATGCTCTATATCATTTTTTTTTTCTGAGTTAGAATATGTTCTGTTTTATAGGTTTACTTTAATTGCATATTTGAATATTTTTATTTTCCATTTGTTCTTTTCAGGAACTTTATGCACATGTAACATCTTATTTGTTTTCCATTTCTAGTATCTTTTCTGTAATTATTATATTTTATATCTTTGAAATTTATTTCATTTTGTATAATTTCCTCTTGCTCATTTCCCATTTCTGATTATATTTTCACCCTTGATCATTATATTGTTTTGTTATTCATAATGTGTTCTTAATCTCTATTATATATTTACACTAAGAATGTTCCCTATAGTTACTTCGAGACAGTGGAAAACTAAGTAACTCTTCCCGTTATTTCCTTTGGAAATTTCTTTGGCAACTTAAATTCTTTCCTTCCCCCTCTTCCTTCCCTCTCAATCTGTGTTAGGTCCTATATTATTTGTTTCTGATTGTTACTCATCTTTGAAAGGTACTGGCTGTTTGCTGAAGAGTAATATAGGGGTGGTTGTAGGGAGAGACTAGGGCAGTCTATAACTAGGATTAAATTTGTTATCTAGAGTAACCATTCACCAACTTTTTTCCTTCTATCTTGGAAACACATCTTTCCTCAAATTTTTGATCATTCTAGAGCTTAGTGTGATTCCCCATAAAGCCATTTAAGCAATTTTTGTGTGGAAATCCCACATTCTCTGCTTTTCCTTCTTCTTTCACCTCATTTTTACCTCTAAGAGTCTCCCCAAACTAGAGGGCTACTTATTATACAGTGTAAATATCATTTTATTATGATTTCTCCTTCAGTTTTTCTTTGTAGTGATTCTGGAGCATTAAACATTTTATCAGCTTCTTCTCTGGCTCATCCATGTCTCCCCATTTCAGCGCTAAGCAAAGAATCATTGGATAGCTGGTCTAAAGTTTTACAATTGTTTTTAATGGCCATTTGGTTTTTGCTAATGGTCTAAGATGACAGCTGTTTGGTTCCTTCTTCATTTTGATTTATCCTCAGCATTTGGCATACATAATCTTGAGTTTGATGTTTTAGTTGATTCCTTGTTTTTTGAAGTTCATTTTTTCCCCTCTACTTTTTGTTCTATTTTCATTGGCTTTTAAGGGAAGAGAGTAGAAAAATGATTTTACTCTATTATCAGTAAGTAGAAATCACTCTTAAGTATTATTTTTTGAGAAACTCTTGGTTTCTTCTATCAATTTAATAAAACTTAGTTTATGACACTATTTTGCTTCTTGATTCTCCTGAAGCTAGCTGATAATGGCATCAGTTTTTCTGTTTTAATTATTCTTTCTCTTCTTCCTTTATATAGCTGTTCTGTGTTAATTATTTTTATCACGTTGATATCTTCAACAAGATGTATTTAGCTTGTGAGGATAAAAATCTTTAAGTACTGAAGTCTTAAGTAAGAAAAAATGAAACCTTTAGAACTAGTTGAACCAATGATTGTGATCTCATTTTTCTCTGCTTCAGTTTCTCCAAAGTAAATATAAACAGAAAATAATACTTTCTTATGTATCTGGTTATATTTACTTTAAGAGAGTGATGGGCTGATGTGTCCCATAATTCTTTATAATAAAATTAAGCTGTGCATATTCCAGGAATTTGATCAATATTTTCTAATTTTCACAAAGGCACTGTATACCCTTTCTTTATTGTAATGAGTTCATTCTATATATGACATGTGAGCTAATTGCAGATTGTTAAAGATTACCTCTCTATTCCCTGTATGCTTTTCTTTAATAGTCTGCACAACACTGCAGATAATTTTTAAAATTAATTAGACCTAGATCTCAAACAGGAATTATTCATATTTTTAAAACCAGTATTTCTCTCATAGGTGTTTCTCTTTTATTGCTTTCCACTATCATCAGACTAAAAAGTAATAGCATCTCTTTGCTGAGGATACATGTAATTTTTTTCTGAACTTAGAATTGTTGAAAAACTATAATGAAGCAGCTTATAAACACAGCCTCTGGTTTCCTTGATTTCTTGCCCTCCTTAAAACAGCATAAACTAATCACTGATGGGCTTTTCTGCATGGCTTTAAAGCTTAATTTGGATTGGAATTTATACTTTTTTCTTTTTTTAAAGATTTTATTTATTTTGGAGAGAAAGCACAAGTTGGGGGGGAGGCAGAGGGCGAGAGAGAATCTCAAGCAGACTCCACACACTGAGTGCAGAGCCTCATGGGGCTTGATCTCATGACCCTGAGGTCATGACCTGAGCTAAAATCAAGATTGAGCCACCAGGGGCTCCTGGAATTTATACTTTTCCATTTGACACTAAAATTCCTTTTTTCTATGTTGAAACATTTTAGATCTGCACAGATAGTTGTGGCTGTGTATTACATACAAGAACATTCTTAGACATCACTCTTAAGAAATTGAACATTGATATATTAATATTACTTAATGTGTAATCCGTATTCAACATTTTTCACTTATTCCCCCAAATATTCCTTTTTTTTCCCCCAACATGAACCAATCAGGAGTATGCTTTTCTGTTAGTTATCTTGTCCCTTTTCTTTCCTTGAATCAAAACAACCTCCAATGCCTTTTTTGCATTAACATGTTTGGAAAGCCCCACAATTTGAATTTATCGGGATTTATCTGATTGTCTCTTCACGGGTATATTCAGAATAAACAGACCAGTAAAGTGATATTGTATATTTACCATTAACATCATATCAGTAAGCACCCACATTATGTCAGTTTGTCTCATTCCTGCTGATGCTAAAGGAAATTACCTCATTACCGTGGTGTGTGCCAGATTGCTCATTATAAGAGTACTTTCTTTTCTTTGTGATTAGTAAGTAATTTGTGGTGCATACCTTGAGACCATGTGAATATCCTGTTTTCCATAACATTTCATCCAGTGTTTTCGTATCCAATGATTATCTTTCCCTCAATTAATTATTTTACTAGGAGTTGCAAAATGGTGATTGTTTTCTGTCATTCTCTCTGCGTTTATTAACTGACATTCTTCTGTAAAGAGAAATTTCCATCCTTTTTATTATTTATTTATTTATTTATAAAGACTTTATTTATTTATTTGACCGAGAGAGAGACAGCGAGAGAGGGAACACAAGCAGGGGGAGTGGGAGAGGGAGAAGCAGGCTCCCTGTGGAGCAGGGAGCCCGATGTAGGGCTCTATCCCAGGACCCCAGGATCATGACCTGAGCCGAAGGCAGACGCTTAACCGACTGAGCCACCCAGGCACCCTCCTTTTTATTTTTTTATTTAAATTCCATTTGGTTAAAACACTGTGTAATATTAGTTTCAGTTATACAATATAGTGATCCAACACTTGAATACAATACCCAGTGCTTATCAGAAGTTCATCCTTTTTAAACATTTGAATTTTCACTATGACTCATGAATTATTTTTTAATCAGTATTTTATGATCCATTATCATCAGTAATATTCAGGATGGTCAAATGTTCCCAGATCCGTTTTGGGGAAGCCTCTTCCAGTCAAGGTCCTATGTACTTTGACCAGTCTCCATTTGTCTTTGAACTTTCTTTGCTCTCTGGCACAGTATGTACCAGATGCACCTTCTGCTTTCATTGCTCCAAATATGGAATGACCCTTTTCCTCAATGAGCCCTGGTTTCTTTTATTGGGGAATGGCACATACAAATCAGAATTTGGGTGCTAGGTATACTCATTTCTATTTAGGAGTCACTGTCTCTTTGCCCTTTCAGTGGACAGAGTTGAGAAATTCCTCTGATCCCCATTACATATTTGGATCTTTATTCTGTTTATGATGAGAACCTTCATTTAGTCTATTGCAGACTACACCTAAAGTAGTTTTGCAATTGCTACGTCGGTATCACGTCCCCCAACAAATCTGCTAAGTACTATTATTCTTTACAATTCTTTTGCCCCTAAAATATATCTCACTAAAGTTAGGGTTCTGTTTTCCCTGGTGTGGTTGTGTTACCAATTTGATGTACAGTTAGTTTCATTTGTTTCAGTATTTATTTGCATTTTGTTTTAGGGTTTGCTTTTTCCATCCTCTTTAAACTTAAATTTATTTTAAAATATGTAAAATAGGGGCTCTTGGGTGGCTCAGTCGGTTAAGTGTCTGCCTTCGGCTTGGGTCATGATCCCAGGGTCCTGGGATCGAGTCTCACATTGGGCTCCTTGCTTAGCCAGGAGCCTGCTCCTCCCTCTGCCTGCCACTACCCCTGCTTGTGCTGTCTCTCTGTCAAATAAATAAATAAAATCTTAAAAAAAAATAAAATACATAAAACATTTATATGGCTCATAAAGACTCACCACTTCTATCTCCATTCCTTTCACCTTGTACGTCTTCTACCACTCCTACTGCCACTTTTAGAAAACTATTTTCGTTAATTACTGTTTTGTGTTTTATCTCTGTGTGTGTGTGTGTGTGTGTGTGGTGTGTGCCTGAGTGTGAGATCTTATTTTCCTTCCTTTCTTAAACATAAAAGGTTAAGAGTCCTTTTTATATTACTCATAATAAATTCTTTCTTAAAGAAGGAACTTATTTTTTTAGCTTGAGTATACTTTTTATAATAATATATTTTGTTATACTTGAAAATTTTTATTTATCATATTTCTTTGTCACTCTTAAACAGGGGGACCTGGACGATCTACTATGCCAACCCCAGGAAACACTGCAGCTTTTCGTGCTTCCCTCTGGACCAATATGGAGAAACTTATAGATCATATTTGTACTGTTTGTGGACAGGTAAATATTTTAGAGAATGGAAAGAACATTAATTATAGGGGCATCTGGGTGGCTCAGTCATTACGCATCTGCCTTCGGCTTGGGTCATGATCCCGGGGTCCTGGGATCGAGCCCCACATCAGGCTCCCTGCTCAGTGGGAGGCCTGCTTCTCCCTCTCCCACTCCCCCTGCTTGTGTTCCCTCTCTCGCTCTTTCTCTGTCAAAAAATAAATTAAAAAATCTTTAAAAAAAAAGAACATTAATTATGGATTAATGCCTGTTATTCCAAGTTGTGTGACCTTGGGCAGCTTTCTTAAAATCTGTGAGCATTCAAAATACCTACATTAGCTGGTTATAATATATGTAGAGGCTCTAGCACAATGCCCTCTTCCTTCCCTTGCTGGTTCTAGTGCCTAAGCTTTACATTTGTTTCATTTTGAAAATACCCAATTATGTACATTCTCCCCCTTTCTGCCGTTTTTAGGTACAACATCTACAAAAAATATTAGCCAAGAAGAGAGATCCTGTTTCTCATATTTGTTTCATTGAAGAAATAGTTAAGGTATGTTTAAATGAAAATATTTTTATCTCTTTATTGAAAAATGGAGGAAGATATGAGCCAGCATTGTTTGTGTTCTTACCTTATGGAATGGCTACATGTCAAATAGCCATAGAAATTGTATTTCTTTTTTTTCTTTTTTCTTCTTTCTTTCTCTTTCTCTTTTTTTTTTTTTGAGAGAGTGCAAGGTGGGAAAGAGGTAGAAGAAGAGGGAGAGAGAAAATCCCAAGCAGGATCCACACCCAGTGCAGAGCCTGATGTGGGCTTGGTCTCACGACCCTGAGATCTGGACCTGAGCAGAATCCAAGAGTCAGATGTTTAACTAACTGAGCCACTCAGGCACCCCTGGAATTGTATTTCTTGACAACAGCAAACTTTCTTTATAACATATGTATAAGCACAATTGTTGAGTAGATGCTATCAGTAATACTTTTTATAGACTAATTTCTAAAATGCATAAACTAATTTCTAATTTTCTGTCATATAAATGATTTATTGTAGATGTTTTTAAAAGTTCCATTAGAGAATAAGATGAAAATTTGGAGAAAATAAGATATTTAATTAGTGGTCATTATAATGTCTTATGAAGTCTTTACTGAAAATGGTGGGATCCATTCAGTTGTTAATTTTTCTTATAAAGCACATTGCTGTATCCCATTTTTCATATTCTGAAATTCTCCCTTCTGTCATCCACCAATCCACTGGCCTCATGGGCCATAAGAATTCCTTCCATGCATAGAAATCTGACTCTACGTTTTATTCATTCATCTTGATATGTTTTTAATAAGGAATAATCAAGTAATTAATTATTCTATTCATCATTTAATCCTGACACATAAGTGTTCCAAAGAAAAAAATTCTCTAAGTTTCCATTGTTACAGTATAGATCATTTCCTTTGTAAGTCCAAAATTTAAGCATTTTATGTATTGTGTTGTGGATCTCCAGGACCACCTCCAAGTTTGGTGATTTGCTGGGAGGATTCATAGCATTCAGCCTATAGTTGTGCTTGTGGCAATGATTTATTACAGTGAAAGGACATGAATCAAAATCAGCTTCATGAAAGGAAAATCAGCAATAGGGAAAAAGCATATAGGATGAAGTCCAGAGGCAACCAGGTGCAAGCTTCTAAGAGTCCTCTCCCAGGTCTCACAGACAGGACACCTTTAATTCCTCCAGCAACAAGTGGTGACAGCATGTGTAAAATGTCCACCTTGCACCTAGGAGTTCAGGGTTTTAATCAGGAACCACTTACTGCCTGGCATGTACCAAAATTCCAGACTCCCAAAAGAAAAGCAGCTGTTTCAACATACACCACATTATCTGTACAGTTTAGGGATAGTGAGCATTCTTATCAAAAAATCATGAGGACCTTCTCAAAATCTAAGTCCCAGTTACCAGCCAAGAACCACCCTTGCAGGCAGGCATTTCTAACTATAGCAATCTCAGACCTGCTGTGTAAACTCATTTTTGCACATGTACTTAGAGTAGTATATACCCACTTCCATTATCCTGCTTCATATTTGGCTTTTAATTGTATGAAAGAAACTTTTGTCAATTTGTATAATAATTATCTTTTTAAGAGGATTTCTTTGTCTTTCTTCTTTGCATATTTATTAGTGGTTTTTGATTTTGGTTGCCACTGGGTTTGTATAAGTATAACATCTTCTGTATATAGCAGTCTATGTTAAGTGGATAGTTGTTGAAGTTTGAACCCATCCTTTACTCCTCTCCTCCCCACATTTTAGGGATAGGTTGTCATATTTCACACCCTTTTATTTTGTAAGTTCCTTGACAGATATTTTACAAAAATATTTATTTTTACTGCTTTTGTCATACTGTTAGTTTAGTCTCTCCTTTTCACTGATAGAATCCCCTTTAATATTTCTTGCTTGGCTGGCTTAGTGGTCATGAACTCCATTAGTTTTTGTTTGTCTGGGAAAATGTTTATCTCTCCTTCTATTCTGAATGATAGCCTTGCTGGATAGTATATTATTGGCTGCAGGTTTTTTTTCCATTCAGCACTTTGAATAGATCATGCCACTCTCTTCTACCTTGGAAAGTTTCTACTGAAAAATCCCTTGATAGTCTTATGGAGTTTCCCTTTTATGTAACTTTGTTCTTTTGTCATGCTCTTTTTGAAGGTTTTTTTTTTTACTATATTTTGCCATTTTAATTATAATATGTCTTGGTGTCAGTCTGCTTTTCTTGATTTTGTTGAGGGTTCTCTGGCCTCCTGGTTCTGGATATTTGTTTTCGTCCTCAGATTAGGGTAGTTTTCAGCTGTTGTCTCTTCACATAAAATTTGTGCCCCCTTTTCTTTGTTGCTTTTTCTGGGACTCCTGTAATGTATTACTGTTTGATGGAGGCACTGAGTTCCCTAAGTCTGTTTTCCTTTTCCATCATTCTTTTTTCTCTCTTTTGTTCATCTTGATTTCTTTCCATTACTCTGTCTCCTAGATCATTGATTTGTTCCTCTGTTTCTTCCAGCCTGCTATTCATCCCATCAAGCATGTTTCTCATTTCATTTATTGAGCCCTTTATCTTTGCTATGGTATTCCTTATCGCTGCATTAGGGGTCTCACGCATGTCTTCCACTCTTTTCTCAAGTCCAGTGAGTAGTCTTGTGATCCTTACTCTAAATTCTCTATCAAGCATGTTACTAATATCTGTTCTGCTTAAGTCTCTGGCCATGTATGGCCTTGTCCTGGTTTTTCATTTGGGATAAATTTCTCTTGTCTTCTCAATTTGTCTAAATCCATGTGCCCATTTCTGTGTGTTAGGAAAGTCAGTTATGTCTCCTGTTCCTGAAGGTAATGGCCTTATGAAGAAGAGGTCCTATAGTGCCCTGCCATGTAGTGTCTCCTGTTCCCCAAGGCCTGGCACTTCCAGCAGTGTCTCTAGTGTGTGCTGCTTGCAATCAGCTTTTGTGACCTGGCCACTTTAACGTTCAGGCCAGTCATCGGCAGAGGCTGTCTTTGCCTGTTGTGGACAGTGTTTGGTCCCTGTCCTGAATGTGGCACATTTTAAGTAGGTGTGACCTGGTCTGCTTGTGAAGTGAGACCTGTTGGCACTGTTGTTGGAACTGAGACTCTGCAAAACTCCCAGGTTGGGTGACGTGGTGTTGGCAGGGGTTTGGGCTGGTCTTCTGGGGGAGAAGGCCTGCTGCTGTGACTGAGGTGGGTGTGACTGGGAGGGGCAGTTCCACTGGAGTGGGAGGGGTGCGGGCTGGGTGCAGGCTGGGTGTAAGTAAGTTAGGTAGGGAGTGTGGGCATTGCCCTGTTCCCCCAGGCGGCCCTGTGCTGGCCAGTTCCTTTGTTCCCAGTAGGGTCTCTCCATGAATGCTGCCTCTCTGGGACAAGCTCTGAGATGAGCAGATAACCTCCCCACTGTGTGCGCTAGGTGCTCTTCAGGTCGCTGTTTCCATGCTGTGTGTCCACAGGTTATTTACCTGCCTTCTTTTCAAGAACAGCTCTGATGCCTCTGAGCTCTCCCCAAGCCACATCTGCTGATCTCCAGAACTCTGGATTTAAGCCCCACTGTCTGCAAGAACTTGCGAAATTCAGCCTCTCTAGCTTTCCCAGCCAGTTGCTATGGGGACTCGTATAGTATATTGCATAGTTATTAATCTCTCTTGTATAGTTATTAATTTTTTAGTTTTAGTGGTGGAATGGATAACTAATATGAGGCCTTCATGTTTAAAGGCAAGCAAATGCACATGCAGTGTTATCATTCATTTCTTCTAATTTTGGTCGCCTTTCTACCCAAAGTAATTAATTTATTCTTTATTGGAGTGTCTTGATTTCAAGCTTTTACTATGTAATCCTTTGTATATGTTTTTACTCCTTTTTAATAGTTTGGCTATATTCTAGCAGCATAAGAACAATTATGTGAAACCATTATATTCGAGGGAACTAAAGAAAAAAACAAAAATAAAGAGGAATAGTGCCATTTAAAGATGCTTATGTTTGTGATATTATTATATTGGATGAAGTTTCTACATACAAACTCATATATAAATTCTCATCAATTATTATTGGGAATGAACTCTGGCAACTTCTGTTTGCCAGATTTTAAATACATGTGAATTACTACCAATTATAAAGGATTATTATGAACAGGGATGTATGCTTTCCTTTTACTCAGTCTTTACAGTAACTCACAAAATTTCTTACTGAATTAAAAATAAAACCAATAAAGATTGATTTTTCAAACACTGTTCTTACCTATTTAAAAATATAGTCATATACAACACACGTTTATACATAAATTTTAATGTAAATTTCCAGTTTAGTTATTCTTTTGTGGCAGTGTTTATGAAAAAAAATTTAAGCCCCTCTTGGAACTCATTATACTCATGTATATTCAAAAAAGATCAGTCTTTTGTGAAAAGTCCAAAATAACTTTTGATCCTAAATACTTGGGATTTCCAGGGCAAGAGAAAAGTAAAAAACAAAACCCTTAAAACACCTGTCACATATTTCAGAAATAGCACATAAATTTCACTGCATTTACTGTAATTTCTTTAGTTTTTTCCTTTATCGCAAAGCTATGAACAGATATTTTTGCTAATTACATAACTACCATGTAAGAACATTATTATTCTAGTGAAAATAATTATCGATGGCAACAGAATATTTGTAGAAAGTGCAGGATTTTTAGGATGATTGGAGTCCCCAAATAATGATCCTTAAAGTCTTCAGACAAATTTAAACTTTTGAGTAGAGGATGATGTGTGTGTATCAGTGCTCTGGATCATTGAAGAGTGGTATCTGGACCAACATCTCTAAATCTTTGTGTAATCTCTTTTAGAGGAAAAGTTTATGAACAGAAAGTTTTTACGCTACTAGTTTTTGCAATTTCAAGGTTTTTAAAAAGGAAACATCTTGGTATTGAAAGTTCTTTCTAATTTAGTGGTTTAGCCTTTTTAACCAGTGAATATATATATTAAAAATAAAATAAAATTGTAAACAATTCAAGATGAAACAATATTAGAATTATGCCA